AAACCCTATATCACAAGTGAAATCAAGGCAATGATAAAAGAAAAACACAAACTGCAAAAGGAAATTTGCAAAAAGACCCTTAACTTTAGGTGATGCGTACCGAAGTATCAAAAATAAAGTAATTCAAGCAGTTAGAAATGCCAGGCGTAGCTATTATACAAATAAGCTCCAGTCAGCATCAGGCAACAGTAAGAAAACCTGGAATATCATAAATTCTATTCAGAACAGGAACACTCAGCCTTCGGCCCCCCACTCAGCTTTTACGATAAATGATTCAGTTGTAACGGAACCCTCCCTCATTACCAACCACTTCAATTATTATTATTTTAATGTTGGCAAAATTCTTGCAGAGAGCATCCTTAATCACCATGAGGAATTTATAGCCTACCTGCAAAACAGACAACAAAATGAGCTGTTCTTATCCCCTGTCACAGTAGATGAATTATTGACCATCATAAAAATGTCCAAATATGCAGCAGCAGGCGAAGACAATATACCAAAGAGCATCATTAAGAAAGTAGCCCACCTATTACTACCTGTTCTCTTACACATTTGTAACTCCTCCTTCACGAGTGGTGTCTTTCCGGATAAACTGAAAATTGCTAAAGTTCACCCAGCATATGAAAAATCTGGGGACAAAGGTCTTTTCAAACCCCCAGCCTTACGTAAGATACTGGAGAAAATAGCATGTAGTAGTCTAAATTCCTTCTGCAGTGTTAATAGTATCCTTAGAGACTCTTAGTTTGCATTTAGAGCTAGAAGGTCAACTGAGAGTGCTCTGCCATCCTTTACTAATGACATCTTAAACTCCTTTGATGACAGTCATTTCACAGTCGGTATATTTTTGGACCTCTCTAAAGTCTTTGATACTCTCGACCATACCATCCTCCTTTCAAAGCTTGAACATTACGGCGTTAGGAGCTTATCCCACAATTGGTTTACCTTATATCTCTCCCTGAAGGTTCCATTCTTGGTCCTGTACTGTTTTTGTTGTACATAAACAATATAGACCACTCCAGGGCACTCATAAAATACAACTTTTTTGGTAGACGATAGTAATCTCTAAGCCAGCTACTCGGATCTCCATTCCGTGATGAGAACTGTGAATACTGAATTGACTAAACTCAGGACCTAGGTAATACGTAATAAACCGAACATAAACCTCGAAAAAACCCACTGCACGATCTTTCACGGAAAGAAAATCATACCCTCAGATTTAGACCCCCCTATACCTTGGTAATACAGTCCTCAAACGTGAACAAAATACTATATTCCTTAAGGTCATTGTTGATGAAAAACTTAGCTGGAGAAACCACATACAGTACAAGCCATTCACAGTAAAGTCAATAAACAGTGCGATATCATGTATCACACTCGACAGTCACTCACTCTTACAGCAATGAAAGAAATCTATTATGATCTTGTTTACCAACACCTGATACACTGTGTTACGGTTATCTCGCCTTTCCCTCAATATTTTTTCAGTTACCCATTGTATTTAGTTTCTGTTGTTTCCCGTTTTTCTTTAGAATCGAAATTCCAAGCTTATGGTAAAGACTTTAAAAAATGTATTGATTATTTTATATAAGTATCAGGGCCGAATTCAGGAGTGGGCAAAGTGGGCAGCTGCCCAGGGGCCTCCGCAATCTGGAGGCCTCCACATGTGCGGTAGAAGCTATATCAGGACTGGTCGACTTGAAACCACATGAATGACTCCAGTCATGTCTCAGTTTTGTGTGTGTGTGTGTGTGTTGGGAATTTATACACTATCAATAAATATACAGTTAATTAAAAATTTCTCAATGTTCTAATTTCCTCAATATAACTGCATATGGCTTCAAAATTCTCCAAAGAAGTGTTCAAATTTCAAAATTTTCCCGGGGAGCTTACAGCGCCCCCCGGAACTCCCAGATGTTTAGGTTCGCCTCACTCGCCACCCCACCCTCTTGGGTAGTTATAATGAGGGGGGCCTCCACAAAGAGGCTGCCCATGGGCCTCCACAGGTCTAAATCCGGCACTGATAAGTATGTATACTAGTATTTGTTTCATTATGTAAACTTTGTAGAATGTATCTTTATTTTTTATACAGTTATGAAAGACTGTAAAAAGCAGGTGTGAAGTATAAAAAGAATTAGAAGTTATATGTTCATGAAACAAGAAAGTATTGGAACATTGGTTTGTTTTTGGTGGCACTCTCGGTAGCTTGGTTGAGGAGGATAGGAGGGTCAAGCTTGTGTGGTGCACATTTATCTATTATTATCTGGGCAATCATGGATAATTATGGTGTTAACTAAAGTGTAATATGTTCATATAGTCTAAAGAGTATTGTAGTAGTGAGAGAGCACTGCATTTAGTAGAGATAACATTATTCTGAGTGAATTGATTTTTGGCCTTTTGTATGCACATGGATGGAGAGCACATATTTCTTATGGGACTGTAGGTTATGTATCTATGCTACTGTGCCGAGTAGCAACCTTGTAAATAAGCTACTGTGCCGAGTAGCATTTATGTATGTAATTACGTGGCAACACTGCACGTGTTATGTGGCAACATTGCCCCGAGGCTGCCATATGGCAAGGCAGTCTCAGTCTGACTCTGTGGGCCGTGCATGGCACACGCAAGTCACCACTTGTATTTCTCCTATCCGAATAAATGGACTTCAGTGTTACCCGGTGTTTCCCTACCAATCACTGCTTTCTTCAGGGAACACTTGGAACCTTCAGGGACATGCAATGAAACGGATAGAGATTAATCACAGCAATTAAAATGGAAAGAAAGGCAGAGAGTTAAACAGAGATACTGTAAAGCGAAAGAGAGATAAAACAGAAAACGAAGGATAGGGTTCGCCGAAGAAAAGTGTCGGTGTTAACCACGAATCCTTTCAGGAATAGGCTATAAGTTAACGTGCCGTATCCAAATAAAAGAATGGAAAGGAGGAAAAAGAGAGTTGAAGGAAAACAAGAAATAAGAAATAGGAAAATACATGTTGGGTGGATTAGAGAGGAGGTGGTAGTGGGGGGTGGGGGAATCGAACCACTAAATACCCCTCCTTAACCGCCCTCCCACATCATCTCCCCCTACTCTCCATCCCTCTATTTTTCGCGACATGTACCTCTGTAGGTGGTTTATGCCTCAAAATTAACAAACACAGCCAAGAGAGTGCCAACCCTCACTGCTTCCATTAGGACGTCGATCCCGTTATCCTGTGGAAGTAAGAATGAGCCTTAAGGTAGTGTGGGTGTTGGGAGGTTGTAGGCGGGCGAGGCGGCACAATACCCGGCCACATCAGTATTCTGGAAAGTATTGTCGATTTTTTCCCACTGATAGATGGGCGCGGAAATTTGCATTCCTGATTATCATTTTTGGAAGGCGCCGAGGAGGTAGAGGTAAGAGGAGGTGTGAGGGCATGATAGGAAGAGGGAGGGAGAGGGAAAGGGGTGGGTGGGTGGTTGGGAATGATGGGTGAGAGGGAGGGAGTAACAGAGGAAGGAAGGGTGGGTGGAGATGATGGGAAAGAGGGAGAGTAAGTGGGGTAGATGGGAGAGGGGATGGATAGTATGTTTAGGAGAAAGGGGAGGAGTGTTGGACCGGAGAGAGGGAAGTGTGGGTGGCTGAGAGAGAGAGCGTGGGATAAGATAAGTGAACATATGAGACGGTGAGGATGGGGTAGGGGAGGGTAGGGTTGATGAGAGAGGGGGAAGTATGGGATGGTAAGATAGGGTGAAGGATGAGATGCAATGGTGGGAGAGATGGGGAGAGTGGGATGGAAGAGATGAGTGCATGAAAGGGAGAGAGGAAAGGACGTGTACAACGGGAGAGAAAAATGGTGGAAATGGTGAAACCATGGGGGAGAGAAAGCTGGCAAAAAGGGTGAAACCATGGGGGAGAGAAAGCTGGCAGAAAGGGTGAAACCATGGGGGAGAGAAAGCTGGCAGAAAGGGTGAAACCGTGGGGGAGAGAAAGCTGGCAGAAAGGGTGAAACCGTGGAACTGGCGGAAGGTAGAACAGGTGGAGCCGGGTGAAAGAGAAGATGATTAAGATGGAAGAAAAGAGGGGAGGAGATAATTCAGGGAAAAGAGCGAGTGAGAACAAGAAGGTACCGCCATTCTCGTTATTTGTCTTCCAGATGATCTGTCGAAGGAGGGAGGGAGGAGAACTAATTAATGGGTGTTAAAGGTGCAGCATAGATTTAACACCTGCTCTCTGATGTCACCTGACACTGTAGGTGTGAGTTGCAGGTGTTCGTGATGTGAGACCTAGGGGGTTTGCTTACATATTTACTTTTGTGTGTGTGTGTGTGTGTGTGTGTGTGTGTGTGTGTGTGTGTGTGTGTGTGTGTGTGTGTGTGTGTGTTTTATGCACATGGGGTGGTGTAATGCATCTAGTGGGGCAGCTTTATGTTAGTGTTAAAGTGCAAGTACTGCCTGCTTCCTCTCACATTCAACTACTGCTGCTGGCTAGCCCTCGTGGTGAACAGGGAAGTCACCTTGCGTAAATCTTCCCCTGCCAGTACAATGGGTCTCAGAGGGACGACACATAGGCCCACTGGCCTGTGGACACGTCCTGGCGCCTACCAACCACTGCTCCACTGCCTTGCAGATTAACCTTGGTAAGTATAAGGTTACGGGAGTAAACCGCGAACGAAAATTCTACAGTGGAGCCCCACATCATGCAGGCATGCTTACAGAGCTTCAGTAAGACTCCAACATGGGGACACAATAACTACACCGGGGGATAAAGGCAATGCCTGATGGACAGGCTACTAAGGCGAAACCCAACAAACTGGGCTATCGGCAGTCCATTGCAACTTTTCTTCTCCCCAGTCGTTGCAACTTCTTGAACAGCTGGATCAGAAAAAGGGAGAGCCAAGATGGGTGGTTGTAGCCTGCAGAGTGTATAAAAACGACCATCTTATCCATGCCGCCCATGTGCTGAGTTGTAACTAGAGACTTCCGGCAGTCATCTCCGCCTGTGTAGTTTTGTGTCCCCATGTTGGAGTCTTACTGAAGCTCTGTAAGCATGTCTGCCTGATGCTGATAAACTAACCAACAACAAACAGCCAAATTCCCAGTGCCGAATGGGATCCCATCAAAGCTTTCATCACAAAAACCTGCAACGAGACCCTTGGCCAGGTCAAAATTAAACACCAGGATTGGTTTGATGAAAACTACCCGGAAAACGTAGTACTCCTGAATAGTAAACGTGCTGCTCCCACTGACTGGCAGAACAACCCCTAAGTCACGGACCAAAGCTGATACCTTCCAGGAGAAGAAAGCAAGGATCCAGCGCGAACTTCGCTGACTAATGAACGATTTGTGGAAAAATATAGCGTGAGATATGCAAAAAATTGCAGATCAGTACAAGATGCGTGAATATTTAAATTCCACTCATGGCGTGCCTCCCCCCCCCCCCTCCGATCATCCGACGGTAACTACCTAATTAAAGACGATGAAGGCATCCTTCAGCGCTGGAAAGAGCACTACCATTCACTGCTCAACCTAAACATCGATTTGGATGTCCTGACTACCCAGCAGGCTTTTTAGCACCCACGGCTGAACCACCTCAGTTATCCTCCATTCCTGGATGAGGTAACTACTGCCATCAAGCAGATGAAAACTAACAAAGCCACAGGGAATCAAAGCCAAGGTGCATAATGCAGGAGGACCTCTGCTTACTAGCAATCTCCACTTTCTCCTGTGACAACCACTGCGGGATCTCACTGCTGTCCGTAACTTCCTAAGGTGGAAGACTTCCACCCAGAATCTCAATGTGGCTTTAGACCATCACGTGGCACCACTGACATGATCTTTGTTCCCCACCAAATACAGGAAAAGTGCTGAGAACAGCGTCGTGACTTATACATGGCCTTCATTGACATTACTAATGCCTTCGACTCGGTCAACAGTGGCCTTCTGGTGGACATTCATTCGTTTTGGCTGCCCACTAAAATTATTTGTCATTGTGAGGCAACTCAACAATGGCATGAACGACAGTGTCCTACAAATGGCACCCAGTCTGAGTTATCTCCCATCCAAACGGGGGTAAAACAAGGATATGTACTGGCACCAACTCTCTTTTACATTTTCTTGGTTGCCTTCCTCACTCGTGTCAGTCCCAATTTAGCCGGTGAGGTGGACATCTAGTACCGGGTGAAGGGACCTTTCAATATAAGACACAACTCCAGGCAGGAATAAAGGTGTCGGCCGCTTCCATCACTGAATGCGACCTGCAAGATATCCTGAACAACCACATAGATGCATGTGCACACTTCAGCCTTGAAATGAATGCACGTAAGACTCAGATTCGCCTTAGCCTGCCCCTGGTTCAGTCACTCACCATCCATCCAGCTATTTTTATTCATTTATTTATATATTTCTTTAATGGTACTACTCTCTCTAATGTTACCCACTTCCAGTGCCTTGGCTCTCACCAGTCTACCACTGCGCAAATCCATGAAGAGATTCAACATCTGATCAGATGCGCATCTCAGCCATTGGCAGACTCCGTAATAAGTCTTTAACTGTAGGGAGGTGAAATTATCTACAAAGTTGTATGTATATCGAGCAGTCATCCTCCCCACCCTGCTGTATGGCAGCAAGACATGGGTCTCATACAGGAGGTACCTAAAGGCACTTGAAAACTTGTACCAACGTAGTCTGCGTTACATCCTCCGATTTCGCTGGGAAGACAAGAGAGCACATCCCAGGATTCTCGTTGACACCAACTGTAGGAGTATCGAGGCTACCATTATCCATTATCCATGAACAACTGCGTTGGACTGGCCATGTTACCCGCATGATCGACCGTAGACTACCAACGCAGCTACTTTACAGTCACATAACGAATGATATAAACGTAACACTGGCGGACAACGGAAAAGGAAAAGGATAGTCTTAAGACAAACCTCAAAAAGTGCCAAATCGCCCCCCCCCCCCTCATCTGGAAGATGATCACTCCACACCGTAACGCTTGGAGGAGCACCACAAGAGAAGGTGTCAATACTTTCGAGTTAGCCCGACTGCAGACAAGCACGAGCGCTGGAAAGACGCTGCCACCTCCTTTCCAACACCAGATGTAGCCCTCCATCCGCGCAACATCTGTGGACGGCACTGCCGCTCTCGTATCCGCCTCTCGAGTTACTTCAGAGTTCATCAACGAAGGTGACATCCTTAATAGCTAATATCATTGGACTGTATCACAGCTGGATGATCATGATACTCGATCCCGAGTGACAGCAAAGTTGTGTGTGTGTGTGTGTGTGAGAGAGAGAGAGACGTTTTAATTTCTGTCTCTGGAGTGCATACTTCTTATATTTCTCCCTCTCTCTCACAATGCTTTACATAATAAACATGTTGGGTTGGTAAAACCTTCACATAAAGACGTGTACTCTAACTACAATTAATATGAAGATAAAGAGTTCACATATATGGAAAGCGTCTTAATAGTGATTTAGTTATTAGACCTGGTGTATGTGCTATGTATGTGGTACGCGTCGTAGTTATAATATTTGGTATACGTGTCTTGTATATATCATGTGTCGTAGTTCGCTTACGTGGTGTGACATGGTATGTGCCATGTATGGAAGAGTAACGTGACCTGCTGTGACCTAGTGTCCTTCTTGAAACCTTGGATGACGTGGTGTGACTTAATGTGACATGGGGCGATGTGTTACCTGCTGTGACTTTGGGTGACCTCGTGCGACATAGGGTGACCTAATGTGACCCGAGTTACCTGGTGTGACCTAGGAGGCTCACATAAAACATATAAATCTTCAGTCATCTTATTTTGCTCCTCGTTAATGTGAGATAATGTGGTGAGAAGGAAGGGGAGGGAAGGAAGACAAGGAAAAAAGTGGGAGGAAGAGCGGAGACGTTAGCTACATCACTGGGGAGTTCTTGGGTTGAGGACATTCCCCACCCAAGTGAAGGGAAGGTGGGGGGGTGGGGGGGGGGGTTAGGAGTTATCTTCCGTACTGGGGGGAGAGGATGTTGAGGAGGGGGAACCCTTACATGACAATGGAAAGGGAAAATATGTTTTCTTTAGTATAGGGGACATATGTTAATAATAATAATAATAATAATAATAATAATAATAATAATAATAATAATAATAATAATAATAATAATAATAATAATAATAATAATAATAATTAACGGTTTATTGAAAGAGCTTGGCAGCCAGAAGGCTGAAAATATACAGTTACATATTTGGGGAATGGGTTTCGAATTACAAATAATATACAAGTAACATAAGTGATACAAATAAGATATATAATAACTAGATGGGGAAAAGCTCAAACTACAGTGCATTTCAACATAGTGACAGTGCAAGAAGTAGTATTTACTGGGAGTGAATACACTGGTTTATTACAAGTTATTGATATTTTTTACAATGGTTGGGACTGGGCTGTTCTTATAGCGATCAGTTCATGCACGTATGGGCTGGATGCGGTTGTGGTGTCGAACAGCAATTCTCGGGCTAGGGATCTCAGGTGGTAGTAGGACCTGGTGTCGAGGATGGTGTAGAAGCTTCTTACCAAATTTGCAGATGAGGTCGTGGTGATGGTCAAGAGTCGAAAGGGTCAGTGTGTTGAGCGCTTCTTGATATGTGGAGAAGGAAGGGAAGAGAATAATCTTGCATGCCCTCTTTTGCACTTTTTCTAGGTGTTTACGTTGTGTGGCATTTAGGGTGCTACAGGGTGGTGCTACAAGGGAGGGGAGGGGAGGGGAGGGGACGGGAGGGAAGGAATGGGTGCTCTGCCTCTGCTGTTCCTGGGTGTTGCTGCTCTGCCTCTGCTGTTCCTGGGTGTTGCTGCTCTGCCTCTGCTGTCCCTGGGTGTTGCTGCTCTGCCTCTGATGCTCCTGGGTGTTGCTGCTCTGCCTCTGCTGTTCCTAGGTGTTGTTGCTTTGCCTCTGCTGTTCCTGGGTGCTGCTACTCTACCTCTGCTGTTTCTAGATGCTGCTCTGCCTCTGTTGTCCCTAGGTGTTTCTGAGGTGCCTCTGCTGTTCCTGGGTGTTGCTGCTCTATCTCTGCTATTCCTTGGTGTTGCTGCTCTCTCTGCTCAGCCTGCCGTTCCTGGGTGTTGCTGCTCTGCCTCTGCTGTTCCTGGGTGTCACTGCTGTGCCTCTGCTGTTCCTGGGTGTTGCTGCTCTGCCTCTGCTGTTCCTGGGTGTTGCTGCTCTGCCTCTGCTGTTCCTGGGTGTTGCTGCTCTGCCTCTGCTGTTCCTGGGTGTCACTGCTGTGCCTCTGCTGTTCCTGGGTGTTGCTGCTTTGCCTCTGCCGTTCGTAATTGTTGCTGCTCTTCCTTAGGTCTCGTAGTGTTGTCGGTGTGTGCTCTCTATCTCTCTCTAATACTTTTTTCTTCTCCTCGACTCTCTCTCTTTATCTCAACCCAACCTGCGTCTATCCCAGAGTGAATGGCAATTCTGGAGATGTTACGGAAGTTGAGGGGGAGGGGGGGGGGCGAGAGACGGAAGGAGGGGGTGTGAAGTGGTAATTAGTTTATATGCAAATGTGTGGGTGACGTTGACATGGGGGAGAGGGCTAATTGAGTGAGGAAAAGACGAGGACGGTTGGCATAGGGGAAGATGTGTGACATGTTTGAATAGGGTGATTAAAGTTAAACTAGTCTACAAATGTGGGTGTGTGTGTGGGTGTGTGTGAGTGTTTGTGTATGTGTGCATGAGTGCATGCATACGTGAGTGCGTGCAAGTGCATAGGGGGAGGGGAAATTATGTTCCATTTAATGTCTGAGGGAAAACGTTACGAGTTACGAGTGTCGGAATAAGAACCAATGAATAGATTACTGGTCGGCATATGAACTTCGACTGATTCGTTGTGTACACACAGAAGCAGTTAAAATTTTGATATTACAGTTAACCCTCACTTTACGCGGTTAATGTAACCCGGAGGGTCCCGCGTAAAGTGAGAAACGCGTAAAGTGAATAACATAACATATGGGATTAATTGAAATGGAGTCCGGGCCGATCCCCAAACTCCACTTTTTGACGACACACAACTATGTTGTAGTAAAAATATTATCTTAACTTTATGATGGTATGCACACACAATTAATAATTAAGAGAAATATCAATAATATTAGGTTTTTTAACACTTACATTAGTAGAAAAAATGGCTGGGCACACGGGGATGGGCGGTTGGTTCCGAGGCAGAGGGCAGATTATTGGCCCTCACCTGTGTCACTTGTATCAATTGTATCACTATCCACCACAGAGGCTTGCAGGGCCTCTTTGTCAAACTCCCCAAAGTCCATATAAGTCCATATCCTCACCATAATTATCACTATCACTGACTTGGGCTGGCTGTGGTGGGTGGCGGGTGAAGAACTGGTAATGTTTTGATGACTGGGCGACCTTGTGCGCACCATGTTCGCGCAGCTTACACAACATGGCGGATGGCGGGAGGTTTGGATCCAAAAATGGCGCGGCTCGCCAGCCGCTCTCAGCGTAAAGGGGTACACGCACAGCGGAATGTGAGCATCCTGGGTTCCGGCAGGGCACGGCGTAAACGTGGAAACGCGGAATGTGGGACAGCGTAAAGTGAGGGTTAACTGTATATGTTATACTTAAAATGTAGTAACATTAGTTTTAATGTGTTAGGTAAAACAAAGTAATGTTTATTGTATTAGTCTCGAATACTAATGAATGAGCGAGCGTTTGATACCTATTTGTGGATTCGCAACTTGGATGTCTTTTGTTTATGACGTCATTTCCGCCCACCTCTACTCACTTAGTTTTACCTCTCAGAGCCGGGTGGCTTTAGTATTGGGCTGGCAATTGTAAAATAAGTATCTCCTCTCCTATTGTATATTTCTAGTGGTATACCGTGTTAACCTTGCTCGATTTTTAAGAACACCAAGTAATATATAGTGATTTATATGTGAGACTGTGTGTAGTCACATTTAAGAATTCAAAGGTAAATAAATTACTTGTTTATGAGTTACGTGTGTTGGATAACCACGTTGTTCAGGGTAGTGTCTAAACTAAATAAGTGTTTAATCAGTACTTTGATGTTCGTTATTCTGTCACTGTTGAATAGTTTATTTGTTCAGATTTAATTTGCATTTATTTATTTTTGTACCTACGGATATACTTGTTTTATTGTTTGTTTTTGTTTGTTAATATATTTTGTAATTAAATCTACTTATGAATTTCAATATACCACAAAGTAATGAGGTAAAAATTTGGTGGGATCTCTTCCTGGACTTATAGTAGGAAGTTGAATTTGTGATATTGTTACACCCTATGCGGCCAAGAGTCGTAACATTCAAGTATGTTAAAGGAAACAAATGTATGTCAAAATGTGTGTGGTATCTGAGTGTACTTTGTACATTATAATGAGGAAACGTACATGTTTCAGCTTAGTGGCATGCATTAGGTAGGAAGTGCACAGTATGTCCCAATAAGCCTTCAACTATCTATATGAGGCAGGTGTAAAGGCCTGGGACTTTGGGATATAAATCCCTTGCCAGCCTAATCAGGATCTTATAAAAGGAAAGTCAAGAACCATGGGTTTCCAAGGGGTAACAAACAACCGTTAGAGATTGACATCTCTTTACTACGAAAATAAACACAATAATTGACCACTCACACAAATATCAAATAAACAATTACAGGAGTCAAACAATTAATGGAGTCAAACAATTAAGGGAGTTAAATAAATGTACAGATATTTCTTATGGCGGCAGCCCGGTGGAATGTTCTGGTAAAGGGTGATCCGCTCTCAGGGAGAAGGTCCAGGGCAGCTTCGTCACTGCGCTGGCGTGGGTGGGGGATGTCTTGCCACACAGGAGAGACGCCAGGGCACGGACGGTGGATAGGGCGTGGAGGAAGTGGCGATGACGTGGCAGCCGCAGTAGTAGCTGGAGCAAGTGTCCGGAGATTGACAGCCGAATAGTGAAGGTCTAGGGAATCAGCCCACGAGTCCCAGGAGCCTCAGATGAGTACACAACCAGAATTTGAATGAACAGCGGGGTGCAAGTACAGCTGTGTTTACGGCTGGGTAGTGTCTGATGTGTGACGAAGCATCAGCAACCTTCTCACTTCCGTCTACCCCTTAGTGGGGCCGCGAACAAGCAAACGAGCGGCGGGCAACCATCCTGCTCGTTACCGCCCTTAAGGCAAGTCTAAACGTTAAAGGTCCCCAGTGTTAGTGTTGACTTATATGCCGTAGTCAAATGACAGTGAAATATCATGTATGTCTCAACATAGCATTGAATTGATGGAAACGTTTGCGTCAGGAAAAATAATTTAATTTTTAATTTTGCAATGTACAGCGGCTAGTTTATTGTGCACACCTTACTCATTCTATTGGTGGTATAGCAAAAGGATTACATAGTCGAGGTCACAAAGGGTATGTTTAACAGTCCCCAGTGGTCAGGATATTATGGCATTGAATGTTGCAGAGTATTTTAAATACATTGTTCGTTTAGTTCTGCACATAAAGGGGGTAACTTATTCACAACTGAGTTGGTACAGCAGTGTGAGGCAATATATCTGGCCACATTTTGCTATTCACATTTGCGTGAGATATTCAAGCACATTGTGTGTTTGGTTCTATACATGGAAAATGATATAGCTGCTGAGTGCAAGAAGGTGGATAAAATCTTAATATGTCGGCTATATTGCCATTAGAAATATAGTGTTGTGCCATTTCACACATAGTGTGCTTGGACCTGTCGGTAAACTATTCTATCTTCACACAGTCAAGGACGTAGGTTTCGAATGTGTGACCACACAATTTACATTTAGTCTTGTTCACATTTGATTGAGGGACATACTGCCAGAGGTACTTATATCCTAACCTTAGTCTAGCAGTTACAACATCTTGTTATCTAATAATCTTGTTACTTGCTCCATATACATGTTTCACTTGATACATCTCATCATGGTAAACAATGGAATGCCTATTCCTGTTTGCACTTGTCTACTTGCGTCAAATTCATCAACAAGTTCTTTCCTGATTATCGTTTTAAGGGTTCCTTTTGAGAGACCCAAATTCAATTCAACAGCATCTTTGTTAGACGCGAATTTGGCGAGGGCAACAACTCTGTCATGTTCTTTGAGACCTATGTGAAACGGGATCTAAAACAACAGCTTGATCTTGACACCCCGATCAACAAGATACACATATATGTCTGACTTCAGAGACAAGCGCGTGACAACTTAAGTTGAGGGTGTCAAGGGCAAGTCTGAGAAGAATCATTAATGATGAGACTGTCAATGACAGTGGTTTCAACAAAGTTAATAGCTGTGAGTATGGCAAGTAATTCTGTTTGTAGAGTGGATCCCCAGTAGTTAACATTATTCCAACTCCTTTCTCAAGTGTATTGCCGTTAGGTTGAATCACAATGGCAGCACTTCCAGCCCTTCCACAAGCAGTGTTAAGAGATCCATCAGTGTAGATGGCCTGTTAGATATTATCATCAGTCTGTAGAGTGTGTATGTGTTCAAGCTCTCTCACTTTGTCAGTGTGTTGGAGATAAATACTTTGCGTAATCAATCGCTTAAGCGGGTATGTCGGTATTGTGAAATCAAAGGGAACTGTCCGCCAGGGTGATAGGAAGTGCTGTTGTGTCTCAACTTTGTACAGTACAGGTGGACTAGTCCAAACATCTTCATATGTGTAGCTGTAGTTTAGATCCATTTAGATTCACCAGTCCCATGGTTCATACATTCTAGTAATTTTAAGGAAACACTTATCAGGATCACCAAACAAAAGACTCAGGGCTATCATGAGGTTGACTTCTATTATTCTATCTTTGACACTGAGTATACCTAATGACTACAAAATGTAATCATAGTATTTACTCTAAATGCCTGCCAATTCAGTACATTTTATTGTATATAGGAAATATAGGTCTATAACCTTAATTTCGCATGTTGGTAATATGGAAATGCCTTTGAAATCAATATATAATAGTTGTACCTATTATTTTATATCTAGAGAAAACATGCATTTAGCTTGTTTTCTGTGATGTTTCACCATGTTCAAACAATCATAGCCCCACTGAGAGCAGCCACTGACTTGTGATACTTGGTCAGTGTCTTCCTGAAGGTTACAGGGAGAGGATGAAGAATCCTGCAGTGATATTTTTGTTATTCCCAATCTGGAAGGTAAGCTTGAATTTTGACGACTACAAATGTAGTCATTAGACTAATGATAGCATTTATTTTTTCTTTTTGGTCACAGCATTCGACATGCGCACCGTGAAACGTCAACAAAGGCTGTGAGTGAGCTCTCCCTACAATTCCCAA